AATAGTGTTCTAACTTTAATTAAATTTACCTATATCTCTCTCTCTCTTCTCTCTCTCTCTCTCTCTCTCTCTCTCTCATATATGTGTCTATATGTATATCTATGTGCCTCTAGGGGGGTTGGTGATGTCGGTATTAGATTGAAGATCAAATCAGATAAACAGTGAATAAATTTTATTTCCTCCCGAATTGAGGGACTTACGGGCTTGGCCCCTTGTCGTGCCTAACTAACTTTGGTGCGTATGAGTCGATTTGCCCAAAGCAGCAAACCCTCCAGTTAGCACATGAAAAAATTGTAATAATACATAAATTTTAAGTAGAGAAATAGAAGGATAGGGGGAAAAAAAAGGAGAAATATATAAAAAATATAACAAGGACAGCTTTGTAGACTCTGCATTGTGGCACTACACTTATCGGTCGATTTTTAGAACAAATCGCCGATTAGTGTCGATTCGTACCGATTAGTCTAATTAGCCGGCCGATTAGTGCACTGAAAAAATTTCTTGCATACATGACCGTTGGAATTGGGCCAGATTGGGTTCGGCCAGTGACCGATCCCGAGTCAGTCGGCCGATTTTGCAAAAATAGGCTGATCATTTAAACACTGATCAAAACAATCATATATATCAAAATAATATGTAGAGTTAGAAGAAAAGTATAGCAACGAACAAAAAAAAAAATTTCTTTAAGCCTAGAGTATCCTTATAAGGAGCAAGATAGAAATTCGATGATACTAAAGATTTAGGCGGATGAAAATTCAGCATGAGATTTGCAGTTGCTTGAGCATTTTGTTGCTTTCTTCATGCATAGTGAAGTGATTTTATATTTTTATTTTTTGTCTTTTCATTTCATTGGTGTATACAATACAGTATTTTGGATGGACCACTATTTTACATATTAGGGTCTTTGTTTTTAGTTTTAGTTAACTGCAATCCTTTACTGAAGGTCTATTTTGTTTTTTTATATTTTTCAAACAATAATCTATACCTTGGTTTACAATTCTTGTTATTTACTAATGTAGTTCTATATATTTAATATTATTCCTGTTTCATTTTATGCTTCTAATAAATATATGATGTGTTTTGTATTACAACAATAGAATAATTATTGTTGTTGGATTTATTGAAAGTTTAGAAAATAAATTGTCAAGTATTATGGTAACAACACTAGGTAAGGCCATAAAATTATAGTTCAATGACTTAATGTATCTATAAAAGAACTGCAAATCATTATTCTATGTAATGTCATCTTTTCATATCTGATTATTTCACTCCATTTTTTTAAGTCAAATTCGAAATATTCACAATTCTATAAGTACTTTTGACTTGATTTTTTCCTCGGACTTTCTAAAATAAAACTGATTTATTACCGATGTTTTGGTTCGTCGATATATTGTTATTCCCTGACTTGCTAACTATGGTATTGACTATACATATGTTTTATGAATGGAAAATGGTTTGATAGGGCTGCAGCCCTATCAAAATAAGTAAAGACTCACCACATAAAGCATCAAAAATTGCAATTCAAGCATCAAATTTTTTTTACATCAATCATCTCAGTTTGAACATTATGTTGGTGAAAATAAAAGTAAAAATTCAAGCTCTAAAAGTAGTGTATCTTGTAACTCTTGTAACAAATAATCTTAGACTATCTATTTCACTCAAAAAATAGGTGTCTAATGATCAACAAGATCTATATCAGTTTTTTTAGTTTTAAATTTTATTTTGGTGGAGAAAATCAATTTTAGAGCCACCATGGAGATTTCTATTGACGAAAGTGTTTTTCAAATGAGATTTTAGCATGAGGATTTATTTTGTTTCATAAAGCCTAGGCCTCATAGAAACTTCATCCTTTATGAGAACTTGAGCATGTTATTGTAATATTCTAGACTAGGTGACAAACCTGTGCCCACTGTTTTTTATTTTTTGGGTAATTTAGTGGGTAAGATAGGTCAAAAATTGCAATTCAAGTATCAAATTTTTTTTACTTCGATAATCTTAGCTTGAACATTATGTTTGTAAAAATAAAAATAAAAATTGAAGCTATAAAAATAGTGTATCTTGTAACAAATAATCTTAGACTATCTATTTCATTCAAAAAATAAGTATTTAATGATCAACAAGATCTATATCATTTTTTTTTAGTTTCAAATTTTATTTTGGCGTTGAAAGTCATTTTTAGAGCCATCATGGAGATTTCTATTGCCGAAAGTGTTTTTCAAACGAGATTTTAGCATGAGGATTTATTTTGTTTCATAAAGCCTAGGCCTCAAAGAAATTTCATCCTTTATGAGAACTTGAGCATGTTATTGTAATATTCTAGACAACGTGTCAAACCTGTGCCCACTTTTTTTTATTTTTGGGGTAATTCAGTGGGTAAGATAAGCCCTTACCTGTTTTTTTAAATAGATTAGGAGTTAGATTTTTGAAAGTGTAAGTGGGGTAGTGTTAGTGGTAGGAATGGAAAACACAATGTGGTGATTAGGTGTGAGGAAGCTGTCACTACGACCCTAGCCCGTGTCCTAATTTTTTTTGGTTGAGTAAGTGGGGAGAGAGTCCTTCCTCTTCGTAGGAATTGAGCTTAGGACGTAGCATTAGAAATCGTCAGGCGCTAACCGATTAAGCCCGAGCTCTTTTCCTAAAGTAAGAATTAGAAATTCGAAAGTGGGAATTAAGGGTGGGACGTTATGTTGAAGCATCAACCCCCAACACGTTTATGCATAATCAGATTTTCAATAGAAAAGGGACCTTATACTCTAAAGAACTCCTCTATTTAATGGACAAGATTTATATGTGTCGGCTACCCATCTATTTAAATACATCTTCTTTAAAAAAATCCAGGGGTCGCAATGGACCCGGACCCGACCTGGGACCCATGGGGTAGACCTGATCCAGGTTTGGGTATGGGTTCATAAATTGGACTTGACAGGTCGGGTCCGGGTCTAAATCTTCGACCTGAACACTATTCAGGTCTGGGTTTGATAATATTTTTTGGGTCTCAATATATAAAATTTATTTAAATATAGTTAACTTCATATGTATTCTAATTTTTGGGTCGGGATCCGACCTGTTGCTACCCCTAAAAAAAGTCTATTTTAGAGATGGATCTTGTCTTCAAATTTTTCTTTTTTCTCTTTTTTTTTTTGGAAATAATCTCTCTTCAAAATTTTAGTGAAAGTGGAAAATCTCAAGAAGCAATAATCTGAGAAAAAAAAAAATATTTTTATACAATTATAACACCAATAATTTTAAATTATGGTGGGGCTAACATTTTCTAACATCCATATTGTAATGGATGTTTAATAGAAGTGCATCCCCTAACGCAAGTTCAAAGCCATTTTAGCAAGACCATAAAAGAGAGCCGTGGGTTGAAGCTGGATTTATTTTAGACTCAACCAATGATTTAAAAAGCGGATCAATGACTCGGATCGGGCATCTCAAAAACCAATCCGGATCGGTGAATTGACGATTCGGATTGGAAATCGGCTGAATGGGTCGGATTAAAGCTTCAAAAAAATCCAAAAAATTTATTAAAATTCATTATAAATATTGTTTTTTAGGAATTCAATAAGAAATGAGGGTACTACATTATTAACTTTCATTTTTTTCATCAATTTGTGAATATTGAGTTGCTCTTTCCTTGTATAAACTTAAGGATTAAATTTGCATCACATAAAAGAAAAATCATAGAATTATCATGGATAAAATATATAATTATACATGGACTATAATAAAGAGTAGACTAAATCAATGAAAGAATGACTATTAAAATCTCGTTTTGACAAAAAACCCTAATATGCTAAAAAAAACCAAATTATTATAGTCTAACTAACTATAATTCAAAATTATTATAACTTAACTAATTATAGTATTATATACTGAAATTATAATTATTAGTTTATATTTTATAATTATTTTATTAGATAAATAATAACAAATTAAAAATATTTTATAATATTATCTAATTTAAAATATATTATTGACAACTGTAAGAAAAATAATACATTACATGATTTATAATGTAAAAATTAATAAATAAAATAAAAGATTTGGTTATCAATGTAAAAATTAATAAAATACGTACAAATTTTAAAAATAACACTTTAATCTATTATATGCCCAAGGGGGAACAAAAATTTGCTCAATAAGGGATAAACTATTATATGGCTCAAAGGGGGATTCGAACTTGAGATGTCAAAACAAATGACTTTAATGATAAGCATCATACTTCCTTAGTATATGTATTTAAAATTGCCTATTAAACACAAGTGTGAAAACACTTGGGCATATGTGCACATGCACGCGTGCATATGCGTGTCGCACATGTAGCACATGTGGGAGTGGTGTGTGTCACATGGGTGACGCGTACACACGTGTGAAGGTGTTTTTGAGGCTAGAATCGCGGTGCACACGTGCATGCGTGCATGTACGTGTCACACGTATGACACTTGTAAAGGTGTTTTTGAGGCTAGAATCGGTGCACGCGTGCATGTGCGTGTGGCACGTGTGGGAGTTGTGTGGCACATTTGAGAGTTGTGTGGCACGTGTCACTACACATGTGTGGGAGTGGTGTGTGTGGCACGTGTCACATGTACACAAGTATGGGAGTGGTGCGTGTCGCACGCGTGAGGCGTACACACGTGTGAAGGCTCTTTTGAGGCTAGACTCGAAAAGGAACCGGCTAGAATGGGGAGGGAACTGCTAGAACTGGGAGGAAACCGGATAGAGCACGTACACTTGTGCATGTGCGTGTCGCACGTATGGCACGTGTGACGCGTACATACGTGTGAAGGCTCTTTTGAGGCTAGAATTGGGATGGTCGCACGTACACACGTGTGGGAGTAGTGTGTGTCGCACGCGTGACGCGTACACACGTATGAAGGCTCTTTTGAGGCTAGAACCGAGAGGAAACCGGCTAGAATGGGGAGGGAACTGCTAGAACCGGGAGGGAATCGGACAAAACCAGGTGGGATCCGATGGTTCTCCCCTAAAACCGGGTAGTTCCTGGTTTTGTGCTGGAATCGGCAAGGGCTGTGCCCAATGGTTTAAAAAGCGGATCGGTGACCCGGATCGGGCACCTCAAAAACTGATATGGATAGACGAATTGGCGATTCGAATCGGGAATCGGTCAGATTAAGGCTTCAAAAAAATCCGAAAAAATTATTAAAATTCATTATAAATATTGTTTTTTAAGAATTCAATAAGAAATGAGGGCACTCCATTAAGAACTTTCATTTCTTTGCATGAATATGCAAATATTGATATGTTCTTTCCCTGCATGAACTACTATTTACCATTTAATTTACATCACACAAAAGGATAAACATAGAATTATCATGGAATAAGTATATCAACATACATGGACTACAATAAAGCATACAATTAGTAACATACAATCTAAAAATAAAATAACAGACGACGTCGTTCTTCTTCTTGGTCACACTGGTACCATTGATTGAATTCGTTTGACAAGATAATATAATTGTCATACATGCCACAATTTTTTTACAATGATATTCACTTTAATTCCTCACGATAATACAATTTAACAACATGTATTTTTTGCGTTCAAAATTTTAAAAATTGAAAATACATTTTTAATGCAAAACTACATTAAAAATATAATACAGTTTTGCATTAGAAATATAATAACATGTATGTTTTTGCATAAATATTCTATCAACATGAAATTTTTTCAAAAAAAACTTTAACAATAAAAATTAAAAATATGGTTTAATACCTCATGATAATCAAAACCTGGTCACCATTTTCACATCTTTACGGAAAATCATGATTTTTCAAAAAAAATTGATCAAGTACTAAAAAAAAAACAACTCTTCACAGAGTTACCTAACATCAGTCATTCCAACTCAAAAAAGCATTAACAACAAATTAAAAAAATACAGTTTTGCATTAAAAATATAACAACATGCATTTTTTTGCACAAATAATCTATCAACATACAATTTTTTCAACAAAAAATTTAACAATAAAAATTAAAAATATGGTTTAATACCTCATGATAATCAAAACCTGGTCACGATTTTCACATCTTTTAGGAAAATCATCATTTTTCAAAAAATTCGATCATAGATAAAAAAAAAAAAGTATAGCAAACTCAAACAATAAAAATTAAAATTATGGTTTAATACCTCATGATAATCAAAACCTTGTCACAATTTTCACATCTTTTTAGAAAATCACAAATTTTCAAAAAATTCTATCATGGATTACAAAAAAAAAAAAATCTGTTTTTCACAGAGCCACCTTACATTGGCCATTTCAACTAAAAAATCCACCTCCAAACGAATAAATTACATCCAATTGAGTACATATTTTGATAAACAACACTATAAGGAATCAAAACCCTAAATTATGAATATATTATCATCAATAAATCAAATCAAATCGATTAAATTGAGCAAAAAAAAAGAAAAACTCAGTTCTTTACAGACAACAGTGATTGAATCTAAAAAATGAAGCTCAAATTGAATAAATCAGATCAAATTGAATACATTTGGTTATAAACAAGACTATAACGATTCAAAACCCTAGAAATCTATCGTGAACAATAGATCGAAAGGCGGAAAAAAAAGAAAAAACAACATAATTTTTTTTTTCACAAACATCATTGTGTTCTTCTAAACCTCAGGCTGTAATTGAGTAAATTAAATAAAATTGAATATGGTTAATGATAAAAGACACAATAAAGATTTAAAACCCTATAAATTTAACTGATTATTTTCAAAATATGGATTGAAATTGATCAAATGGCGAAAAAAAAAAAACGCAGAGTTCTTACCTGGTTTCGTGAACCCATGGCTTCAATCTCCAAATTAATCTGTTTTTCTCAAAGATAATCACAAATTCATAACAGAAATTTCTAGTGAACACATTTACAATCAATATGCCTCAAACTTTTATCAGATTCATGGCCTATTTGACATGAAACAAAATGAAAAGCGGAAACCCTAAAACCCGCAACTTTTATGATCCCAAAATTTGAAATTTTTCCACCATTTAATGCATGAAAAACCTGAAAAAAGCTGCATAATGCTTGAATATTCGATCACATGGCAAAAAAAAGAAGAAAAATGATAAAAATAAGGCAAAATTTGAAGAAACTCGTGAAGAACACTGTACAACCCGTGTTCTTCACGAGACTCGCCGATTCGGTACGATGAATTGGCGATTCACTATACAGAATCGTCCGGTTCTCTATGAAATCGGGCGATTCCGTGTAAAATACCAGAACCGGCATGGACTGTGCCGATTCCCAAGTCGAACCGGGTGAATCCGTTTCGACTCGGCGTTTTTTAAAACACTGGCTATGCCGATTCTCGAGTTGAACAATGAGGCGATCCAAACCCGACTCTTCTCAACGAGTCTTGCTTAAAGGCATTAAAAAGTTATAAAAAAAAAGGAGAGGAAAAAGGCAAAAGAAGTCATGATGGAAGAAAAGAAGAATGATATAGGTATTAATTAGCAGACAACAACTTGATCTAGCTAAAGATAAGACCGAAATTGATGCTTAACTGGATTATTTTGATATAAAAAAAGTTGAAATTGAATATTTAGATTGAAAAAAATCAAATAGGAGCAACAAAAAGTCAAAATATGCAGAACTCCAACCATGTGAAAGGCAAATAATCATTAAGATCGACCCCAAAACTAAAAAAAAATAGAAAGCCCTAGAATTTTCTGGTCAGGCTTTAAAACATAGAGATCTGAAGAATGCCGAGAAGGTTTCGACTGAAAATTCAGTTGGACAGTCTCAAATAGGCTTATGAATCTTGAAGAGCCAGCATAATCACCTAGGACACAAACTGGGCCTTAAATACCTTCATATGAGCTCCGAAAATGAAAGACAATAGACTGTTTTTTTCGGCATATGAGAAGGAAACCGACGGACTCAGCAAGTTCTTCAAGATTTGTGGTCAGCTGAATCCAACATTAAAATTGGCCGGTTCACATGACAATGAACCAGCCACTTGACAGTAAAGTCCCAAATCTATGGATTCTAGGTAACTCGGGCGAGTCCCGAACCAGGTCCCTTGTTTTTTAAGCACCGACAAAGAGAAAAGAAAAAGAAAGAAGTGAAAGAAATGGGGAAGGGGGAAGGGGGCTAGGCAGGCAATATAGAAAAAACTTAATCAAAAAATAAAAAAAACTACACTTTACATATACACACAAAGAGGGATGGATGGGGATGAAAATCAATATTTATGTACAAATAAGCGAGAAAAATGAAATAGAATAATCTATATAACATACATGATCATCATCCCAGCTTTATACAATTATTTGAGATCGATTACAAAAACATCAACAATACAATAAATTTAATGCTGAGAGAAAAAGGTCTCTAGTGAAATACCAGGAGTATCTTAGAGCTCTGATTCACAAATTGGCCATTGAAGAATATATATTCAAAACCATTAACACATATGGTCATCAACTCTTAGCCATTCCATGAAGTTAGTTCTTCCCGAACCAAAGTATTTCATTCTTCAAACAAAACCCTTTTTTCCACAAGAGTCAATGAAGAGAGAGAGAGAAGTGATTGGGACAGAGAGATAAAGGATGGGTGGCCACAGCTAGCTTATATGTCGTCTAGGGTCTTTGCATAGAGAGAGACTTTAATGCATATTTGTGGAGAGAGAGAGTGTTCGGGTAGCTTTCACCTCCGTATGAGCCTATTAAATTAAATTTTGATAGAAGTTCACTTCGACAAGCTGGTTTTGGAGGGGTGTTTAGAAACTCGCATGGGGACCATGTGGAAGAGATTTGGCAAACTCGGCAGAGATTGAAGCGGCTCTCCAAAGTATGGCTCTCCAAAGTATGCGTAGAATACTTCAACATTTTAGGAATGTTTCATGTATTATTGAGGGTGATTCTTTGAATATAATCAATTGGTATAAGAGAGAGTCTAGATCACCTTGATGTTTAAGATGCAAAATGATTGACATTGCAGACATGTCCAACCAGCTCACGGTAACTTTCCAGCATGCGTACCGAGAGGCAAATTCGATGGTTGATGGTCTTGCAAACAGACAAATAGAGATGGATGAGATTCTGATTTCAATGAACTTATTTATCTGACTCTCTTCCTTTTATTCGTTTCTTTTTTTCTCTTTCCACATTGTATATGTATTTTTCGTTTTCATTAATAAAATAATTATACCCTTGTCAAAAAAAAAAAAAAATCATATAGGTAGGGGTGAGAATTTTATGAATCGGGATTCGGATTTGAAAATATACATGGGATCTGAATTTGGATCCTGATCCAATTGGATCTAAAATATTTGGATCTAGATCCAAATCCAAAAATCATACATGGAATTTGGATATGATTCAAATAAGAAAACTATACATGAGATCTAGATCAGGTCTTCTAAAAGTTTAAAAAATTTATATATATCATATATAAATTAAAAAATATATACTTATATATAGATATATATATATATTTTAAAAAGGAAAATTGTTTCATGAGGGCCGGACCGCATTTCTACAATACGTTCAAGAGGTATAAAGCATCCATTTTAAAGATAGATGCAAATAGGTGGTCCATCTAAAAATAAGTACAACTAACGGTCCAAATAATTTCTTAATATAATTATCATTTCTAGTTTTGATTTTTTTTTTTCTCTTCATATTCATGATCTCCTTGCTAAAGATTATATATTCTCTAAAAATTAGAATCACATTATATTTAAAAAATATAATTATTACCAAGCCCGTATTTCTATATTATGCGGGCTGGTAGTATAGAAACCGTATCCTTTTAAAAATCGGACTAGATTGGATTGACGTGTACCAGGATCCAATCTGAATTATTATTTAGATATAAGTTTTGGATCCAAATCTTGGATCCTTTGAGAGGTACGCATCATGACTTGGAGTCATTGCCACGAGTCTTATAGAGCAAGAACTGCCCACCTGAAGAAAGAAAATCGCAATAATGACATTGCTCTCTCTCTCTCTCTCTCTTTCTTGCCTATAGGATCTTGTCATTGTTGCCCCTCTTAGGTGGGAATTAGTCGGGTCTAAATTGGCTCAAACGGCAATTTATTTTAGTAGTATAAGGTTGACACCTTATATAATTTTTTTTTTTATCAAAAAAAAAAAGTTTACATAAGGCTACAACTTTTTACTATAGAAGTAAGGTGCGCCTCAAAAATCTAGTAGAAAAGAGTGTTATGAAGTTGTAAAAGCTTATGATCCATCATTTGATATCTAGCTGATTCAATACAAGGAAAAAAAAAAAAGTAAATCCTAAAAATAGTGCATCTTGTAAGAAATTATATGTACAATTTCAAGATTACCAAGTATTTATAGGCCTACTTAATTTGCACTTTCAAAATTTTAAATTTTATAATTAAGATTGACCATAAATTTTCAAATCATCATAAAGCTTCCAATACTAGGACTATTTCTTCCCATAAAAATTAATAGGGCCTTAGATAATATGAGGGTGGGCACCTTATAAAAAATTTCCTCTATATTCCCTCTATTTTAATAAAATAGCCTTCTTAGGAATGAAAAACAAAACATGCAAGATGCCAATATTGATTGACGTACATAATAAAAAACAAAAAAAACAAAAAAAAAAAGAAGCTTGACTTTGACCATATTGTTGATTTAGATGGGCAATATATGAACAGCTGGCGTGATTTTGATCCTATTATTCACTTGAGTCGTCACGAAATTCACTTTTGACTTGACTCCTGTTATTGACTTGGATGACAACCCTTGTATCAAGCCTCACCGTGTACATCGATTTATCGAATATTACGCCCAGGTCCATTCACCGGCCCGCAGTTTTGTTTATTTATATTTTGGGATAGAAACTATCTTAAAATTTTTAGATAAAAAACTTTTTAACCATATAAAATTTCAAATTTTTAGAGAGAGAAATTCTCTCAAATATTTAAAGAGGAACTATATCAAAGTTAAAAGTTTAAGACAATTTTCTCTTTAAAAATATTAAGTTTATCTCTCTAAAAAATTTTAAGTAGTTTTTTTCTTTAAAATTTGGAATAGTTTCTCTCTATAAAATTTTGATAAAAATTTTATAATGGCAAATGTTTTTATTTGTATTGTTGCATACTGAATATGTGTAACGTAATTTTCACATAAAAATATTTTGCAAGAAAATATATCATGCTTACCAAATATGTCCTAAATAGTGTAAACCCAAGTTACGCAAATAAATGACCCAAATGGGAGATTTTGTATAACCGGGGTATTATCTACAAGCTATCAAAACGGTCATTTATCAATAACTAGGTTTTGGCATAATCAGGATTTACATAACCATGTTATTATCCAAAGCATGATTTTATTTACCTAGGATCCAAACGAGCCCACAAGTGGCTTTTAATATTTACTTATGCGTCGTGAATCCACTAATAGAACCGCATCAATAGATTGAGCTAGGTGCTGCTCCATCAACAAAGAATATGTTTAAGAGAAAAAAGGTCTTTAATGATGAATTTTATTGCTTTTGGCTTAATTCATATAGAACCACTACAACCAAGGCGTTAGATTCTGAAAAATATGGACTTATATTTAATGCGATTCTGAAAAATATGGACTTATATTTAACGCCCAATACTATTTCAACTATGTACATATGTTCAGAGATGCCCAAATGAACTAGTGAGTATCCCCATTATTAATAATGAAGTTCTAGAGTACGAGTCAGATCCACGAAAACTTTAGGGTGAGAAAATCGATGAATAGGCACACTTGTGAAGAACTAATGGATAGGCTTATCAGCCAATGGCACAAACCCAATGGGTGGCAAAAAGGATTAGAGCTCAACTAAATGACTAGATAAGTCTCACACCTAAAGATTTTGCAAATTATGTTTAGCACAATTGCGGTGCTCCATTATCTTACTTGATATTCTTTCTTTTATATATCCACACGTATATCTTCAAGAGTATGTGAACAATTATATGATTTACTATTGTCAAAACAACATATTTAGGTGGTTTTTGAGGTGCAACTTGCTTTTATGATAGAAAAAATATACAAAGAGACTTTTACTTTTAGTACAAGAATGTCACAATCCTTCATGTCTATCATATTTCAAATTTGATGGCGGTAAGAGTATCACTGACTAGACTCAAAGTTCAAATATAAATAAAATCTTGAACTTCTTGACAACTCCAATTCCAATTTGATATATAATGACTAATAATAATTGTGACCTCGTTGTAACAAAGACAAATAGTCTCATAGTATATAATGTCTTTGTACTATATGCCTTTATAGTAAGAAAAAGTTTATATAAGATGCTAGCCTCATACAATAAAATTAAGGTGCACCTCAAGAATCCACCCAAAAATGTTGATTGGATGTTGAAAAACCTCACAATTGATCATCTTGGCTACAAGAAGTCATAAAAATAGTGCAGCACATAACATATTATCTAGATTGTCTATTTTCAAAAATTTTGAGCATTTATAGATTTTTTCTATTTAACCTTTCTTGGTGCTATAACTTCTATAATTGGATATTTTAATAGATTTTTAGGCCATTGTATGTACTTATTGCACCCGAATTGCATCTTTTAGCAAGATTTAGAGGTGCACCTTATTTTGATTAATTTATATTTCAGACCTTATATAAACCACACCCTTTTTTATAGCATAGGTTGATGTCTCATGTAAACTTTTGGGAAAGTATATAAAGAGACTGTTTACTTTTGGTACAAGATGGTCATAATTAATTTTTTTTTAATTCATGATCTCTATTTTAGAGATTACATGTCCTTAAAAATTAAGTTTTAAAATCCATCTCCAAAATAAATTTATAAAGACGCCCACATTTCTACATATGCGGGCTTGGCCT